CACAACATTATGGTCTCATGATGCATGCTTTCCTACAAATGATTGAATTTTATTTTTTCTTGTGGCTGAATGGTATTCCACTGGGTATAAATGCCACATTTTCTTTATCCATCTGTTGATGCACATATAGGCCACTTTCAAGATTTAGCTATGATGAGTTTTACTACGGTAAACATGACCATGAATGTATCACTGTATTATGGTGTCTTTAACTCTTTCAGGAAGATAGCCAGACGGAGAATAGCTAGGTCAAATGGAATTTCTGTTCTTGGTTTTTCTGAGACATCTCCATACTGATTTATGTAATGGTTATTCTAGTTTCCAGCCACCATGGTATAAGGGTTCATTTTCCCTTATAGCCTCACCAGTATTTATTATTTAATTTCTTGATGACAGCCATTCTTTCTGGAGTAAAATAGAATCTCAGTTTTCTTTCAATTTACATTTCTCTTATGGCCAGATATGTTGAGCATTTTTTCTTGTATGAGAAGTCTCTACTTATTTCTTTTAAAAATTAATTTTTCCTTTTTTATTATTTATTTATTTAGTACCAGGGATTGAACTCAGGACCTTGTGCCCCCGGTCTTTCTTTTTTAAACAGGGTCTTGCTGTGTAGTTCAGACTGACCTTGAACTCATTATCTAGCCCAGACTGGCCTTGAACTCATGACAATCGTCCTGCCTCAACCTGCCTGGGATTACAGGCATATGCCATCATATGTGATTCTATTCATTTCAGTTGCCATGTTTTGATTGGATCTAATTTTTTTGAATTCTTTATATATAATCCAGATATTAGTCTTCTGTAACGGAGCAGCTGGCACAATTCTTTTTCTCATTTGTAGTTTGTCTTTTCACTTTTTTGGTTGTTTGCTATGCAGAAGCTTTTTAATTAGATATAGTTTGATTTGTTGATTCTTACTGTTATTTCTTGTGCAATTAGGGTTTTGCTTGGAAAATCCTTACCTGTGCTTTTGTCTTCAAGAGTTTTACCTTTTTTTATTTTCCAGAAAATTAAGTGTTTCTGTTTTGATATTTAGGTCTTCAGTGCATGTTGATTTTGTTGTAGTGTGTGGTGAGATATATGGGTCTAAATTCAATCTTCTGCATGAAGATAGCCAGTTTTCTCAGCACCATTTATTAAAGGGGCTGTCATTCCTCCAGCTTATGTTTTTGGCCCCTTTACCAAGGATCAGATGTCTGAATGTGCCTGGGGTTGTTTCTGGATCCTCTGTTCTGTTATGTTGATCTACATAGCTGTTTTGAATGCCAGTACCATGCTGTTCTCACACTATACTTTTCTAATGTAAGGTGAGGTCTAGGATTGTGATGTGTCCTGCATTGCACCTGTTGCCCAGGATTGCTTTTTCTATTCTGGGTTTCTTCTGGTTCCATGTGAATTTTAGAATTGCTTCCTCCAGTTCTGTGAGAAATACTGTTCATATACTGATTGGGATTGCATAAATCTATGTATCAATTTTGGAGGTATGACCATTTTGACAATATTGGTTTTGCCGATTGAGGAAAAGGGAGTATTTTTCCATTTTCTGATATCCTCTTTGATCTCTTTTTAAAGAGTATTGTAGTTTTCATTATAGAGGTCTTTCATTTCCTTGTTAGGTTAATTCCTAAGTATTCAGTTTTTCTTGAAGCTATTGAATGTTATTTTTTGCCTAATTTCTTTTTTAGTGTTTATTATTGGTATGCAAGAAAGTTTTTTTTTTTTTTTTTTTTTTTTTTTTTTTTTTTTTTTTTTTTGGTTTTGATTTTTTTTTTTTCTACCTGGCTGAGTTTTTTTTTTAGATCTGGGATTTTTTTTTTTTTTTGAGTATTCTAGGTAAAGGATCATGACATTTGTAAATAAGGATAGTTTGACTTCTTTTCCTCTATGTACCCTCTTTTTTTTTTCCCCCATTTCTCTTGTCTGATTCCTGCAGCTAAAGTTTTGAGTACTCTATTGAATGGAAGTGGTGATAGTGGACATTCTTTTCTAGTTCTCAGTTTTTCCCCATTTAATATGATGTTGATAATGGGTTTGTCATGAATGGCATTTGTCAGATTGAGATAAAATCTTTCTATACCTATTTTCTTTTTTTTAATCAAGAATGGATAATGTATTTTGTCAAAGGCTTTTTCTGCATCTATTGAGATAATCATGTGATTTTGGTCTTCTGTTTATGTGATATTATATTTGTTGATTTGTATATGTTAAACCGTCTTTGCATCCCTGGGATGAAGCCTACTTGTCATGATACATGGTTTTTTTGATTTGTTGTATTCTGTTTGCCAGAATGTTGTTGGGGATTTTGCATCTATGTTCATTAAATGATTGGCCTGTAGTTTTCTTTCTTATTTAAGACTGTGTCTGCTTTTGGAATCAAAGGTAATGCTTCCAGGAATGAATTTGGCAGTATTCCTTACCTTTGAATTTCATTAAAGAGTTTGAGGTATGTTGGCATTAGATTTTCCCTTAAATTGTGGTAGAATTCAGTGGCAAATCTATCAGGTCCTGAATATTTCTTAGTAGCTTTTGCTTTATTGCCTCAATTTCATTGTATATTATTTGACTGCTCAAGGTTTTTATATCTTCTTGGTTCAGTTTTGGTTATTCATATGTACCTAGAAGCTATCCATTTCTTCCAGATGCTCCAGATTTTTGGAGTACAAGTTTTTTTGTGGGTTTTTTTTTTGGTACCAGGGACTGAACTCGGGTCCTTGGACTTTCGAGGCAGGTGACAGAACCACTGAGCTAAAACCCCAGTCCTGGAGTACAAGTTTTTGAAGTTGTTATTAATTATTTTCTGGATTGTGATGGTGTCTATCATGATTTTGCCTTTTCATTTATAATTGCATTTATATGGGTCTTTACTTTTTTTGGTAAGTTTGGCTAAAGGTTTGTCTATTTTGTTTATTCTTTTGAAGAACACGTTTGATTCATTGAGTGTATTTTTTTTTAAAGTCTTGAGTTTCATCTCTGATTTTTATAATTTTTTTCTTTGCACTGGCTTTGGATTTAGATTGTTTTTGTTTTTCTAGGACCTTGAGGTACAACATTAGGTTATTTAGTTGAGCTTACTCTGTCTTTGTGATGTGGGCATTCACAAGTACAGACTTCTTTTTAGGATTACTTTAATTGTGTCCCATAGATTCTGTTGAATTGTATTGGTATTATCATTTAATTCTAGAAACTGTCTAATTCCTCCCTTGATTTCTTCAGTGACTCACTGATTATTAAGGAGTGTATTGTTTAATTTCCATATGTTTTGCATAATTTCTGTGGTTTCTTTTGCCATTGATTTCTCACTTCATTGCACTATGGTCTGATAGTATAATTTTGATGAGGTAATTTATGGGCATGAGGTAATTTTAATTCTTTTGTACTTACTTAAGCATGCTGTATGAACTGGTATTTGGTCTGTTTTGGAAAATGTTCTGTGTGGTGCTGAGAAGAATGTGTACTCTGTTGAGTGGAATTCTAGATGTCTATTATGTCCATGTATTTGAAAGTGTGGTTCAACTGATAGTTCTTTGTTGATTTTTTTTTTCTGGTTGATCTGTTTATTTGTAATAGTGGCATATGGAGGTATGCCACTATAATAATATTGATGTTTATGTGATTTTTATGTCCCATAGTGTTTGTTTTATGAAATTCGATGTGCTGGTGTTTGGTAATATATACTTATAATTTATAATCTCCTCCTGTGGAATTGTTCCCTTAACCAATATGTAGTGACCTTATTTGCTTCTTCTCGTCAGTTTTGGCTTGAAGTTCACATTGTCTGAAAAATAGGGTAGCTATTCCTGCTTGCTTTAAGGCTCCCATTGCATGGAATATTTTTTTCCATCCTTGATGTTTAGTTTGTGAATTTATTTTTGGATTAAATGTGTTTCTTGTATGTAGTGTATTACTGAGTTTTGTGTTTTGATCCAGTCTACCAGTCTGTGTCTTTTAATTGGGGAATTGAGGTCATTCACATTTAGTGTTATTACTGAAAGGAATTAACTCTCTCTTGTCATTGTATTACTTTTCAGTTGGTGAATCCTTTTATTTTTCTCTTACCTGCTCCCTCTGTTTGATGTATTTATCCCATTAGCATTTTGTGCCTCATTGGCTTCATTATCTGCCAAGAATATCCTTGAGAGGTTTTTGGAATGCTGGTTGGTGGTTAGGAATTTCTGAAGGTTATCTTTGTTTTGGAAGGTCTTTATTTCTTCATCAATTTTGATAGTTTTACAGAATTTATTAGTCTGAGTGAAAGCTCTTTTCTTTTAGGGTTTGAAACACTTCAGTCCAATTTATCCTGGCCTGTAAAGTTTGTGTTGAAAAGTCTGCTGGAGTTGTAAGGGTTTTATCTTTGTAAATGATTTGTTGCTTTTCTTTAACAGCTTTTAAGTCTGTCCCTATGTTGGACCTCTATTATTTTAATTACAATGTGTCATGGAGTTCTTTTCTGTTTTTAATATGTGAATTATAGAGTATTCAAAAATAAGGTATAATATGGCCCATCCTTTTATCAACACTATTATAGATGTAATAAATGTTAATAATAAATGCAGAGGTAGATACCTAATAAGTAGATTTAATTTAATTCAATTTGGAAACCTTATGGATCTCATGTTGTATTTAAGTGTTTTCTGAATTTTAAAAAGTAAATATTTACTTTAAAAAGTAAAGATGCAGTTTAGTTTAGTAGTAGAGTACTTGCCTAAAAAAGGTAAAGATTGTATTCAGAACTCTGAGAAGTATGACTTTTTTTTTTTTTTTTTTTGGTTTTTTGAGACAGGGTCTCACTATGTAGTTGAGACTGACCTGGAACTCACTATATAGTCCAGGCTGGTCTTGAACTCACACTTGCCTCAGCCTCCTGAATGCTGGGAGGAGTAATTTTAAGGTTGTATTTTTGAAAGTGCACCTTCTGTAGTTTTAACAGTTTCTTTGTAAGAAGGCAATAAAAGTGTTTGAAATTAATGATTTTTTAAAAAAAATTTTGCTTTATTCAGGTTCCAATAGTTGCACTCACTGCTACTGCAAGTTCTTCGATCCAGAAAGATATTATACGTTGCTTAAAACTGAACAATCCTCAGATCACCTGTACTAGCTTTGATCGACCAAATCTGTATTTAGAAGTTGGACGAAAAACAGGGAATATTATTCAAGATCTACAGCCATTTCTTGTCAAAAAGACAAGGTAAGAATTTTGGTAGCTATTTCCTTCTTTTTAGAAAACCTTTATTTTTTTCAAATTATTTCCTTCAGCTGGGCATGATTGCATATACCTGTAATCCCAGCACTCAAGCTGTGGCAGGAGGATGGTGGCAGATTTAAGGCCAGCGATGTGCATAGCAGGACCTGTCTCAAACAAAACAAAACAAAACCCCATTTGTTTTCTTTAAATACATTTTTAACATATTTCAGTATTCTTTCTTGCTGTGGTTCAAGTGTAGTATTACACAATTTAGTGACTAAAGTGTATTTTTGAAGTCAGGAAGCAATTCTACTATATTTATATTCGATAATGTTGATCATAATGATTGACGAATAAACATAAAAGGAGTCTTTCAACTGAATCCTATCTGGTTTGCTAATTGCATGAATGACTTCAGTTTCGGGATTTTATAAAAGGTCATCCTGTAAACAAGTTGGAGCCTGTATCATATTCCAAGGACTGGGGCTGGGGATTTAGCTCAGTGTTTCCTCCTCCTGCCTTGCAAACACAAGGTCCCAAGTTTGATCGCTGGTACCAAAACAAAAAAACATTAAGTACATATGCCAAGGACCATCCTGGACACCTATGTGAACTAGTTTAATCTTTGTAATTGCTCAGCTGCATATTTTTTTCATCTTACTGATAACAGATTTTGTCATTAGAACTTTTGTCTATTTTGTGAGAAGTGCATTTCATTTATTCATATACTAAGAACCTTTACCAAGCCTCATTCTCTTATCTGTCTGTCTGCTCAGAGTGAAGTTTAGACTATTTTCTCTTGACAAAGTGTATATTTTGGTTAAGATACATTAAAATAATGTTTCTCTTACCATTAAAAACACAAAACAAATCCAGGCAAAAAAATTTAAGAGCACGTGGTGTGTTCTTCAGAAAGGGATAAAAATAAGAGAAGGTGGGTCCTAGGTTAAGGAATCCGTAGACTTATTCTTGACGACCTTTTGGGATAATTTAAACGTAGGACTTGCTACAGTCTTATTTGTCCTTTTTTAGAACAGGGGCAAAGGAAGTGGATATATTCTGTGTGTTATGGCTGCCCTAGTGGTCTCTTTGGAGTGAGGGCTCATTGTGCTTCATTTGCCTTCCATCCTAATGGGAAAATGTTCTCTTGCAGACGGTTGTTTGTTCTAGGTTAGAAATCTCCAGTCAGATCATTAACCTGTAATCTTTGATTATCTTCTGTTTATATAGTTCTCACTTTCTGGCTTTTTCTCCTTATGATGACCCTCTTGATTTGAAACAGTTTTCATTTCTGTTTTGGTGTCAGTTTGGTTTCCTATTTTTCTGATACTGTTAGCCTTATGATGTGCAGTATTTCCTTCTCAGAACTTTTAATGTTAGTTTTCCAATTGAGGTGTTACTTTTTAGCCTGGGCTATTATAATCTCTCATAACGGATGTCTCTCTTCTTCTGTGCTCTTTATTTCATTCTATCCAAAAAGATACCCCTAAGTGTATTAGAGCACCTTTCTGAAACTTTTCTGAAGGATGAAGACCAGACACCTTTGCCTGATATTTGAGACCATTCTTGATTTTGATCGTTAATATGAAATGGATTTTGTAAAAGCAGATCAGAAAAGATTTTGTACCCATTTTCAATCATACTTATCATAGCAGGGAACCACTGAGAGTAGAATGCTTTCTACAGATCTTAGTTTATGAAGTGAGAGTAATTAAACCTTCAGAGTATTATTCCCTTTTCTTTTCTTTGTTTAGTCCTGTCATTTACCAGGGAGCTCATTTTTCCTGTTAATTAACGTGCTTCTTAAAGTAACCTGATCTGGTTTCTGTCATGGTAGCAAAAGTCTTAATATCAGTTGGAACAGTGTAGCCACATATACATTGAGAAGCCCTTTACTCTTCCAATCACATTGGTCAATTACAACCACTAGTGGGATTTTGGCATTTAACTGTCTAGAGTCTTGTTTTCTTGGTTCTCTTACTGTGTTGTGTGCTCTCAGTTTTCTTTTGTTGTTAAAATTTATATGCTATATCCAATTTTCTGCTTTCATTTAACGTATTAGTTAATTTGTGTATTTTTGCTATCTTATATTGTTTTCTTAAATTAAGGCCTTACTAAGCCCAGTATTCAGATATTGATAAGCAGTTTTTTCTTCTTTGAAAACATTTTAAAAATAAGATTTTTGTATGCTTAAAAAATGTAATTTTTGGGCTGGGGATTTAGCTTACTGGCACTGTGCCTACCTTGCAAGTGCAAGGTCCTGAGTTTGATCCCTGGTACAAAAAAAAAAAAGTAATTTTTTTCATTCGCTTAAGTTGCTTACTGTGAATACTTATTGTAGAAGCCCATTTGATCACAATCAAAGCTTGCACTGAGTAATTATTCAGTAAGACTCTTGGCAATAAAAATATCGCCTAATTTACTTCTCTGTTCAAGTTTTTAGTGACTTATGCCATAGTCCTTCTTAAAGGTTTTTATAAACATTTGACTTTTTAGAGTATGACTGTACATAATGATGAACATTTATTTTTCAATATAATAGTTCTGAATATTTGTGTACATGTATCTTTTGTAAGATAGGCAAATATTTTTTGTAAAGTAGATTCCTAAAATTGAAATTGGATCAAAAGTTACATGAATTTATAATAACTTTTTATTCTGAAATCATTTTTTGTGTGTTGGCACCATAAAGGAGTATATTTATGTAAAGTAATTATTGAAGTATTAAATAAATGCCCTATGAAAAACATTGTTTATACTTTTAGTAGAAATCACAAGTTTCTATAGTAGACATTCTAACAAATATCTTTTATATAGCATTCATAGTGTCAAGTTCATTAGTAATACTGTTTTGAACAATAAAAACTATTTCTTGTGAGAGAAGTCTTGCTTTTTTGTAAATAGCTGTAGAAACTGAACTTTATGATCATAGAATAAGACTAATGAACAAATTTTATGTATTCTGCTATGTAAATATAAATTTGTCTATCTTATATACATCAAGAATAGTTGTTAGTTTAGTATATGCCTTCCCAAAAGTATTTATACATTTTTTCTTTTATATATGTCAGATTTTATTCTAAAACTTCTTGACAGTTTTAACTTTAATTTGAACAAAAACTTCAGTCCAAAGTTTTCGGAGCTTAACCCATTCATTTCTACTTTTTACTCTTTATAATGCTTTAGATTTTTATGCAGATAAATCTATCTTTTTATGTGCTTTTTTTCTTTTAGTGTTTTATTTAGAAAATATAAAGGGAACCTGAGTATAACATGGTAACACAGGTCTGTGATTCCAGCACTTTGGGTGGCTGAGGTGTGAGAATTGTAATACAATGAAGTCCCACCTGGGGAACTCAGAAAAACCTGTCTCTAAAAAAAAAAAAAAAAAAAAAAAATGGGGATGTAGCTGAATGCAAAGACTGTAGGTGCAATCCTAAAACAAAAACAGAAACAAAAAACACAAAGGGAAAGTTCAATAAGGTAAAATTCAAACGGGTCTAAAGCGTGTATTTATGTAATATTTATGTTTGTTTTCTTATTCTTTTTTCTTTGTAGTTCTGAATGGGAGTTTGAAGGTCCAACTATCATCTATTGTCCTTCCAGAAAAATGACAGAAAAAGTCACTTCTGAACTTAGGAAACTAAATTTAGCCTGTGGAACCTACCATGCAGGCATGAATTTTAACATGAGGAAAGATGTTCATCACAAGTTCATGAGGGATGAAATTCAGGTGTGAATATCAGTAATCATTTCTCTTTATGCCTCATAGTGGAAATAAACATTTCTCAAACTGTTGTGGACTAGTTTAAATCGCAGTTTGTATGTATGGTGTAGTTTCACAGAGGAGGGGACACTAACTCTGCCAAAGGTAGGTTGTATAATCTAGGAAGATGCCATTTGAGTAGAGTCTGAATGTGTAAATAGAAGTTCGTCCAGTTTACCAGGTGAGTTGGTGGTAAGGGTGATGATATTTGTTCTAGAATTCCAGAAAGAAAGACTAGCCGGTATAGACTGTGATCTGATAATGTATAGGAAATTATCAGTGGTTTAGAAAGCTGGAGGGAAAGTCAGTATGGAGTAGGAATGGTACAAAATATAGATGATGAGGCGCCAAGGAACTGTTAGAGACTCATAGGGAAAAAGTTGAATAAGTTGGCCAGGATATAGGTTACTGCTTTAAAATTTGCAAAGAGACAAGTAAGGCTGGGTGTGATATTTCTATAATTATTCTTTTTTTTTTATTTTATTGAGTTTATTGGTACATTTTAGGGATACAGTACAGTTACATTCATTGTTGGGATCATGTACCTCTACATGGCAAGTCTTGATTCTCATTTTTTCCCCTTACCTCTGCCCTCCTTTCACCCCCTCCTCCCTTCCCCATCTACAACCACTTTATTTTCATCTTTTCATTCTCTCACATTTTTTTCTTTTCCCTTTTTGTTCTTCCCCTACCCATCATACCTTCCCTACACCTTTAGCTCCTTTCTTCCCATTATTCTTGATTACTTTAGCTTTGGATATTTTTTTTTTTGTACCAGGGATCAAACTTCGGACTTTGTGCTTGTGAGGCAGGTGGTGGAACCACTGAGCTAAAACACCAGCTAGCTTTGGAATTATTAATCTAGTTGAACTTTTATCTAATAGGTAAAGCAGATTACAGTAGAATAATTCTGGTTGAAGTCAGTGTGAGGAAAAGAGAGGGTCTACAGGCCTCCCAGGAGCCTTACAATCCTTAAAGTGCCACAAAATAAGGTTTAAATATTATTGACTACTCCATTATGTTTTTAAGCATTATGATTGTGATTGTATGAGGCAGAATAAAAAAAAGTGAGTATGTTAACCATGTTTTAAAATTTGTTATAGTCAAAAGCACATTGCCATTAAATCCCCTCAAATAGCCTCCTTCCCTTCAAACACACTTACCTCAGTTCTGGAAGTTCTTTCGTGGGTGTCTTCAGTTGTGCTGCAGTGGCTGGATTGCTGTCCTGATTCTATTCAGACATTTACCTTTGTGTTCATTTCAACTTTGGGGAAGAGCTAGAAGTTGTACAGTGGCAAATTCGCTGGAGAAGGTTGATGAGGACACATTGTAATGTCTTTATTTGACAGAAATTGCCAAAAATGTTTTAAATTGATTCATGGCATCAAGGCAGTCAGGAAACGATACTCACAGATGAGAACTTCTAGAACTGCTTCTGAAAGTGGAAGGAGTGATGGGCTAAGTGTGTTCAAAGCAAGGAGTATTGAGGAGGACCAACAGCACTGTATCTTTTATATGGTGTCATAGTTTATTTATATTTAAACATTCCCTGAAAGTTTAATCACATCTTGTAGAAACAGACTGTGAGCACTAAGTAAGACGGAGGTCAAGGTGAAAAGGTGAAGTAGGGAGGGATATTGATGATGTTATTATATCAGTAGTAGAGCTGTGGTTTCTTAAATGATTGGCCTGGTTCTGTGGGTGTCATACAGAATATCTGGGAGGATTTGAATTCAAGTCAGATGAGTAGATTTAAATCAGCAACTTGGCACTGTCAGCATCGTACCCACAATCACATAGCCTTCCTAAGGGAAGAGGTAAACTTAACTTGAGCTCTGATGTCTTTTTCCCTGTCCAGCCCCTCTTGTGATCGGGTAGTTGTTATCCACCTAAGGCAACATTGGTCAAACAACTTCTGGACCAAAGTGTGGCTCAGTGTTATGTCTGTATAATGCACTCTGCAATCATCCTGTAACACTCCCTGCTCTGAAACAACTGTTCTTTCTTTCTCTTCTTTCCACAGATGAAAATCATTTCATAACTATTTAGAGATTTTATCCAAATTTGTGAATATTTTTATAGGTAAAATCTTTTAGCTGCTGTTACTGAATCTTAGTAATGACCACTGTTCAAGCCATTAACAGACCAGTGTTTTTTTCTGCCTTGAGGAATTACTAATTATTTTAAACTAAAACATCTCCCAAAGATATGACAGAGCACAAACTTTTCCCAGGTTATGTTTTGTTGGCTGACTTTGTTGGGTACATCTGGTTTTCCTTTTAATATGCCGCTTCATTAAAACATTAATATTTTGAAATATGGCTTAAAAATCATAGTGATCTTTAATGATACTTGCTTTTTATTTATTTATTTAGGTTCTTTTTTTAGCTTTTTTTTTTTTGGTACCAGTGATCGAACTAACGTCATTGCACTTGCGAGGCAGGCAGCAGAACCACTGAGCTAAATCCCTGGCCCTATTTAATTTTTAGAAAGGTATATATATGTATGTGCATATATATGCTGCTCTGTTTTCCCTTTCTATGACAGAATGTTACACATTTTTAGCTACATTATGAAGATTAATACATTTATATTGCTTATTCACCCTAGGCCAGTTGTGGTGAACCTATGGTATGCTTGTCTGATGGGCTGATTGTACCATTGAAAGCTCTAAAAGGTTCACCATCACTGCCCGGGGCTGATGTCAGGTACTGTTTCTATCTAGCAGTTTGTCCTGTGGAGTCTCTCTTTGCATTTTTTTTTTTTTTTTTTTTT